CCAATGATATTTTTGCAATATCACGGGATGATCTACAAAAATCAGCCAATTACAATGAAAGCCCGCTATGCTTATCAGTTCGGTTATTCACACAATATTGCCATGCTTATTAAAAAAAATAAATATTTCAAAAAACTGTCATCTCTGTTAAAGGTGAGTGTAGTTTAGCTTAATTGTGATTGTATCATGAACTCTATTTGGAAGGTGCCAGTATTTCTTGATTTTATTTTTGAGTTTCCACTCTTCTTGGATATAAGCAACATCTACTACAAGGATTGGCCAGGGTTTATGCTAAAAGTAAATATTGTCATCAGTATTAGAAATTCACATTAGCAAATAAACAGGTTAAAAGCATTTCATACCATTCCATCATACTGCACTTAAAATTTTCCAATAGGTCAAAAGATACATTTGGCTCTTTGCTTCCTTTCTCCACGTGTTTTTATTGCTATTGGCCAACAATGGTAAGCAATGAAAAAATACTTAGAATAAAAAACTCACTCATCACACCAAAAAATTTAATATCAACAAGAGTGCATTTTATGGGAAGAAATACTTTACTTAAATTTCTCAAAATTGCAGATATAGAATCATTATGAAATTACGAAGGAAATTTGATAACACATTATTTATCTTTTGAAGAATATCATTATCCAAAGGAAACATCTTTCACAAGTTCGTATAGTAAACTGGCAATAAATAATAACTATTAATTTACAAAATATTGTCATTGAAGCAAATAGGAGATTTACCTCGCTTTATTCCAATTAGCTTTTGAGTGAAAGTTTCCAGTTTTCTACCAAAGTTGGCGGTATTTTTTTAGTTCTTCCGATTCTGGAACACTACGAGGGGTCGAGGCTGTCATATCGCTAAGAGAGACGGAACTGGAAGAGGTCGAATTCAGTGTTTCACTATAGACATAGCTGTTTTTTGACAAATCTCTTAAAAATTTTAAGCCTCTCAAAATAGTTTGATGGTAGTTGTACGAAGGTTCCAACTTCTCGTTCCAAAAAAGATGCCATATCAAGGCACAAGGTGTATCGAAGTATTGATTATACGATCAAATTACGCAAAGCTACTGAAACTTTGTCATAAATAATTATCCTTGTGCAAAGTTTCAATAACCTCAAGTGGGTAAGAATATAACTATAACATAGCAGGATTATAATTATAGTGTGATTCAAGACCATATTAATTCTTAAAATTATTATATCAATTCACTCAATATCTCATATTATCCATCTCATACGCGCATTTCATGAGTCACATATATTTCAAGCTATGCACATTTCATGAATCTCGCGTATTTTGAGTTACGTGCATTTCACGAATCTCATGTATCATATGATGGGAATAACCTAACATAAGGCCGCTTGCAGTTAAAGTTTCGTTTAACATTATTTTTTTTTCGTATTCACGGGGGGGAGGGGGGAAAAATTAAACAAACATAAAAAATAAACATATAGTATACCGAAAAA